GTAATCGTGCCTTGAATAGGGCTCGAAATCGTGCCTTTGTGCGTAAAATTGAGCCTCAAAACGCGCCTTTTCGTGCTTTGAATAACGCATGAAATCGCGCTATCGTTTGGGCACGAAATCGTGCACTGTGGGCTTCAAATCGTGCCTATTTTGTGCCTTGAATTCTTATTATTACACTGAAGTGCTCATTGGAACTGAACATAAAAAGCTGCCGTGGATACGCTGTCAATGCCGTGGATACGCTGTTTATATATTATCGCAGTGTGTATATGAGAGGCAGCCCGTCGAGGTCTTAAAAAATCTAAATGACAGGCAGTCCAAACTTTTCTACAAATTTCGAGAGAACGGATAAAGTTTATCAAATCAAACTACTTTTATTTCATATAGAAATACCAAGCGCTTATTTAGAGCTAAGTAACTCTAACCCTTTTCTCTTCACTCTGGAGAAGGTCGAAATCTAACCCTCCCAAAACACACTAAAACAGCATCAAAATCGAAAATAACCCCTCCAAAAATGTTCATAAACTATTGAACCATCTTTATGGAAGTTTTTTGATATTTCAAGAATGAAAAGATACGGTTTAGAAACGATATTTTGACTACATGTGAAAATCCGTTAAGTTTGTCGCCACAGGTAGCCCATCTCMCGTAACTCCTCACAGACTGGTAAGCCTGTGATACAACCAAAAATATTTTGACTGTCTGCTCTAAAAATACGAGCTACGATGGRACACTTGATATTTATTTTTTATCAAGTTTACGGGCGATCGTGCCTARTCGCRCTGATCGTGCATTTACTTTCGCATGATAACATGCACTTGGTCATTTCAAATTGAGCCTCAAAACGCACATTTTCGTGCCGTACTGCAGGGCACGAAATCTCCCTTTTCGTCCTTAAATTCGTGCATCAAATCGCGCATTTCGTGCCTTTAATCGTGCCTCAAAACAAGCCTTGCGCTGAGCTGCAAATCCTACCATTCATTCTTTGATTTCTTGTATATTTTTTTAAAATGATATCGATGTAATGATAATGAGTAATTTTACTGATAAGATATTTCTTCAGTATGGATGCTTTCTGAGTGTGCTTTTTAAGTTGCTCCCAAAGGAAGTTCACGTCTAAAATCACCCTTCGTCTGTGTTCGATAAATCTCGTACTACTGTGATGAAAACAACAAATTGATTAATTATTTCAACAATTAATTCAACACAGATTTATTTTGCAGTATAAATAATTAATCGGCACTTGGCAGCATTAGGGTTTAACAAATACAAAAATTATGTAGATTTCATAGTATGGTGTATGATGGTGGATAAAAAAGAAAGAAGTACAATAAGAACACAAAATGAGTCGCGGGTACAATAAATGATTAAGAGTGAACGATTCAGACGCTCGAGGCATGAAATCAAGTACCCTGCAAACCAGAGGYTGGTTCTTGTAGTTTGTTTACTTTCGCGCCGCGCCGTTCTTGAGTCCGAAGGCCGTAGAAATCAGTTGGAAAATAGGCACAAAATGAGGCGCTCCAGGCAYTAAATGAAGCAGTATCGTGATCTGGTTGGGGCACGATAAGGAAGAAATCATGCGCTCGAGCGTTTTGAAGGCACGGAATGAGGTGATATCRAGCGATTCTCAAGCACGAAATGGTGCATGTAAACGCGGCGCTAGGCACGAAAATGCGTGCTATCGTGTAATGTTTATTTTCTCGCTATTAATTTAATCATTCTAACGCTGCTTTTCTTTTCTTTTCTCCATAACTATAAAACCTTTTGTACTGGAATTCTTCAGAATTGTAGAGAATTTCATGTGCACCCCAAAACGTAAATGAATGCCCGGCTGCCTGTCATATAGACACTGCGTATAAAATTTAAATATTAGACAATTAGTATAAAAATACAAAATAAATGAAATAAGTCCTAGATACAGTAGATATA